GCGCTAATGAAATACAACCTCGTTTCTACCCGTTGCGTGAACCACTGGCCGCCCAACATCGGACACGGAAGATCTCGCCAGATTTTTTGTCGATTTCTCCTCTCGTCAATTGGCCGCGCGATGTTTTCCTCGTTCTCGATCGAGTTTACGGTCACCTCTTGTCCAGCCGATACACCACCGAACTTTCGACACTCGAAGACGCGCGCGCCTGTTATAGGCGTCGGGGTAGTTCTTACCAAAGGAGGTGGAGAAGATGAGGGAGGAAAGGGTGGCGTTTGATCTTCGAGCCGGTTCGCCGGGTCTATTGTGAATTGTATCTGCTTCCTTTACGCCCGATTCTCCACCCTCCCTTTCCACCATTTCCCTCCCGCTTGCGTATCGTGGCGCGCGCGAGCGAGCGACAGAGAATCTCCTCTCTTTTGCAGATTTAATGTTGCCTATTGTAGAACGTCGCCTCGCATGCCTTCCTCCTCTCTTTTCCTGTTCCCTCTACTCTACCCCCAACCTCTTTGCGACGCTCCTTCTTTATTCGTCCGTTACCCATCCCATCCCCCGATCCATGATATAACAATTACACCCACGAGTTATCAGCTCCTCCTTCACCCTCCGCCTCTCTCTTCCTTCTTCCTCTCTAGCTCTCTCTCTCTCTTTCCTAGAGTTCCACCCTCGAGCGATCGTATCAAAGGTACACCTTCCGCCTTTTTTATCTGGCCGTATCGTAGAGCGAACGAAAACGATCGGCGTTGTGACGAGCGATGGAAAGGAACGCGCCTATTTTACGACGTGTTTTTTAGGTTTTCGCTCGAGTTTCTGGAGATACCTCGAACGATGGTTCTAGTACGGTGGTTCACGTTTAACGTGAAAGTTCTCATTGTGCTGCGGTTAATGCGAATTAAGTAGCGTGCTGTGCGTGTAGACACGCTTAGACCGACGTGAACGAACTTGTGTAGAAGTGGTTAATTCATTAACGAGACAGATTATCGCTGTTATTAGAACGACCGGGGATAGGAGGGAGGAGAGGTTTAAGGTGTTTTGAAAGAGGAGTGTTCCATCGTGGCGAGACCGACCCCACGAAACGGTTCTAGCCGGGAATATCCGATTTCGAAGAGCGTTAATTAGTTCGTTGGAAAATTGACCTGGTTGGTTGGTTCGGCCAGGGAATTAAACCTGTTAAACAACCTGGTTATTTTCTTCTATCGCGATCGGTTACCGGTGTCTCTGCTTGTTGTACGTTTTATTGCGAAAATTTGTTCGCTCGTGATTGCTTCTTTTTGTTATCCCCCGATCGACGTCTCGCTCGCGCGATACCACCCTGTGCAATAATCTCTGTTTAATTTTTTATATGCCGCGCACTCGCGCAAGCAAATAACAATAGCAGCCGGAGAACGTTTATATGAATTCCGAGAAAAATCGGCCGCGCTACCCCGCT